AAGAGTGTATGGGATATTCCAGAGGTGATAGCTTGTTGTATTTTATAAATTACTGCAAATCTGCAACATCATATGGGTTTAAACAGGGACTGAAATCAGAAGACATATATTTTTAGGGACTAACAGCATATTTATGTCTTTCCTTTTGCTTTTGTAACTTCTCCAAATAAATTGGCCTTACTCTTTTCTTGTAGGAACTAACTGCAAGTGGAACCATCGTTGTTAGTGGTCACCATGCAAAACTCCATGTAGAAGACCTAAGGCTGATCATTGATGAAGGTGGAGGATATAAAGATAAGCCAGTGGCTGCAATTATTCTTCCTTCGATGAAGATTATTCGTGACACTGATGTATTAGCAAAATAGTTTCATATTTGTGATATTTTTGCTTGTATACAGAGTAGTCAAGCTGTTAAGCTTTAGATCTAATGAGCTTAGAGATGAAATAATGTGTGTGTGTGTTGCTGATCTGAAACACGAGATACATTTAAAAGGTTTTTCCTCTAATTCTGATTGTCAATAAAGCATTAAACTATTCTTTTAAGCAATGCTGTGGATCTGAATCTTCCACCTTTGAAATGACAATTGCAATGTGAATGACTTGTTTACTTATGAATTATTTTAAGTTTGGCATGTTAGTATCAACTTTATTTTACTATATAAATAAGCTTAAGTTAGATTTTGGGCTTGATTATGCAAATAATCAAACTCAAGTTTTATTGATTTGATAAAGCTCAAGTAATTAAATAAATGAATCATTAAAGAAATTTGCATTATTTAACAAGGTGTATTCCTTGTAAAATAATGGAATAAACTATATTGAAAAGAGAATACTCATCTTGTATACTCTTATAGTTTCTAATTTAAATTAGTTATTGTTTTTGACGATAGATACTTATTGATACCATAATTATAACAACAACAAAAAAAGTGTGTGCTTGCTACTTGTCATTGGATATTTTATATTAAATTCTTTTTACTGCTGTATGACTTCGTGGCTTTGGACAGACCATCTACTCCTCTTGTAGATCATGGCATAGCATTACATAAAATCATTTAGCTTATTACCTTAAGCTTTGGTGGTGAAAGGTATTTGATTTCATGGGTAATGAATTTGGCCATCCTGGTAAGCATTGGTGACTTTCTTCTTGTCACACTTTATGAAGTAAAGATTCGCCTATGATTTGAGTTCTTAATGTTAAGGTTGTTCATTCATTGTCAAAGGGAAGCTCTATATCACATCACATCCTAATGGCATCTTAGTTCCTGGGAACAATATCAGTTTTCTAAATGCAGGCAAATAATGTGACCATTATTTACAACTTCTTAGCAGCAAAAATGGCAACAGTACCCTGTTCTGCTTGCTTTATATTTTGGTTTTCTTGTTGATTGGCTGGTAGCATTTCTCAACTTTATGTATATAAGGATTCTTTATTCAACAATGATTTCTGAGTGAACCAATTAGATTGATGGCATTTCTTTGTTTGGGATTCTATTTCCGAATCACATGGAAGCTAAATCATCTTTATAGTAAGGGAACAAAATACAGAGTTCATCATGCCTTGATCTTTCTATATATATTTCTTGTCTTTAAATTCATTATTTGGAATTTTAGTATTCTTTTGCTTTTAGTTTCTTCCTTCTTTCTCCATATGCTTATTTCTTTTCAACTTCTACCAAGTTTCATGTCATTCAATGTCCAAGATACATATAATCTAACTAATATCTAATGCCCAGTCATTTGCACTGGTTTTATTTTTCTTTCTACTTTATGTTACCGGTTTAAAAAATCATTTACTTAAGTAATTTAAGTAAAATTACACAGCAAGCGATTTTCAAGTGACATTGAACCTGTTTGGATACAAGTTTAGAAACATTTTTGAAAACTTCTCTATTAAAAAACCCAAAACAGATTATTTTTCAGAGATGAGAAGAACAGAAAGGAAAAGAGGAAGAATAATTTTTTTATTGAATTACAACATACCTAAGGAGATATTCCTCTTTCCAAGAATGCCCCCTCTTCTACCCACTCCTATTGAAGCTAATCCTGTTGTTTTTGGTTTGAGCAGAGAGAGAAAAAAATGTGCTGAGAAGCTACTGAAATTTACTAAAAACGTGCCCTTATTTTCATTGGACCAACAACCATCCAGATTACAGAATTGGCTATTTATAAACAAGGAAATATGCGGTATGACTTGTGTATCACTACGTAGGCTATGTTAATTATTATATAGCTACAAAACTAACATCAGTACCTCTGGTTCTTGAAATAATAGTAACAATATAATGCACGATGTTTCTAGTTTTTTCATCTTGACATTGGAGGATTCCTCTTTGATGGTTGTGTTGTTACAGCTACTAAAATGGCATGGTACTCTTATTAACAGTTGTATTGTTTTTGGTCTTATTAAAATGGTATGATGCTATTATACTACTTTGTTAAGCGTTGCTCAGCATTGTTATTCTTTCTACCTATTGCTTATGCTTGGTTTTCAATTATGAGCCTGCCAATTATAAATTAATATGGGGTTGGCAATTGAATCCATTAATCTGTTGGCTATCGGTGTTTAAATCCTATCAAATCCATCTAAATGTATTAATCAATTTATTGGACTTGTTAGTTTTAGGTAATGGATGGTCAATGGACCAACGAAAATATTTATTGGATATCCATTGGTTTAGAGAATGGATAGTATTCAAAGCCAGAAAAAGTAGATGCATTTAGTTGAGAGAAATAAAAGGTGAAAATGAAAAATATTTGTACAAAGGAGAACCTATGTGGATGCATCTATCTGTTTATTTTAGAAACCTTAATTATATGCTATGTGGAGTAGTACTCTTGACTAATAAACTTGTTCATTATTAGTAGATGTTTGTTTCCTAATTATCATTATTATCAGGTGAACAAGTGGTAAATTTGGTTATTCACTTAACTGGAAGAACTAATACTATTCTCTCCTTAATCAGACATCATGCCAAAAGTTGAAGGTATTTCTCTCTCTATCTGTCAACATACATGCCCATGAATATTCTCCGAAGTAACCCAAAAGTTCTCACAAACTTCACGCAGAATTAGGAGGCAACTGAAGCAGAACACTGGTTGGTGAAGAAGTGGAGGTGGAAGTGGATGATCTCAATGCCTCTGCAAGTGGTCCTCCCACTGAAGCCACGTGGCACGTGTCCTCTCCATGACCAGTAGACAATTTCAACGACACATCCGAGGAAGTGATTCCCATAGAGAGGCATGTTCCAGAGTTGCTCCTGCCACTATTGCTTTCACCATTTTCAGGCTTTGGCCAATCATCAAAGAAATGCCTCAGGACATGCCCACCAGATTTTCCATCCCCATCCACATGATCATGCTTTTCAAACAAATTCTTGCTCTCATTCTTGGTCCAAGAGGAACTACAGAAGTAAAAAAAATTGGTTATCAAGCAAGGGCATTGCAGGACAAAGGGACAAGAAAAATGTGGCTGTAGAACAAAGGATAACGTTGTTTCTAAATTTGGTCTAACAAGAAACTTTGGGGCTATACTATGCACAATAAAGACTCCATCTTTTTCCATGTAAATATGAGACATAGCAACTAGGTCCTCATCAGCGAGGGTTCCCTACCATTTATGCATCACATCACACTTATAGGTTCATTATTTACTCATTAAGGATCCATTTTCAACCACGCCTTTTGGATGTTACTTGGTACACATCTAGAGAGAACAATTGCCTGTATCAATTCTTACATGGATAAAACTTGCACAAAGTATCATGGGTATTGTCGGTACTTTTTGCATATTAAAATTAGAGTTTTACTTTGTTAACACCCTTTGACATTAAATAGTTCGACAATCAGAATAGATATTTCACCTCAAGAAAATGCATAATATAATATCCCATTAAATAGCAAAGTCACTTAAAAACAACACAAACAGTGTGAGTTTTGTCTTTAGTTATATGGTAGAAATTCTGGTAACAAGAGCATTTTATCCTTATGAACTACTCTGTACCACGCTACAGCTACAGTTTCTTGAGACAATTAATACAGTACTTTTTTGATAATTTAAAATTAATATTGTAAAAAAAAATAAAATGATACAGTGAAAGTAAAACGATGTGTGTCCCCAGATTAGATGAAACTCGTTCATTGAACTGTTAGCTTTTCCTTTTCCAAGGGATGGTCGTTGACCAATTCACATTTCATTATCATAGTTGAAACTCAAACAAACTTGAAAACAGAATGAACAAAATTTCACAATGACAATAACTGCTACCTTTGATTGAGCTGAATGAAAGGGCGGTTGAATGAAGCAGAGGATGAAGTAGCATGACGTTGTTCCACTTCCACAGGCTTTCTTGAACGGTTCCGACCACGATGCATGTGGCGGTCGCAGTACTTCTGACCGGCCACCGCGTCCCTCGAGCACCGCCACTTCTTGCCGTCGGTCCTCCGGCACCGCCCCGGCTCCGGATCCAGTGCTGCTCTTCCCCAGCACCCTGATTCCATCACTGGTCCCAAAATCATCAAAAAAGGAGCAACTTTGATGGGCATAAAGCATTAAAAAAGAAACCTTTCATACCCCACACCAACACCTCAAAGCATACTAACAAATGGAAAAGGACAAAACTTTATACTAGCAAATTGGAAGTGGAGAATGGGGTTGGAAATTTACAAGCAGGGTGATGGTGTTGAAGGAAGCTTTTCTTGATGGGTTGGAGCAGTTGAGGAGGAACAGGAACACCAGCCTGCATGTAGCTGAATATGAGAGCCTGCAACTCAAGCTCTTGCCACTGTGCAAAGCTGAAACAACTTTCCATCCCTAACATCACAGTTGAAAGAAGAGGGTTGAAAAACAAGCGAGGGAAGAAAAGAATGTTTGAAAAGGAAAGAAGTGAAAGATCAGAAATGTTACTGGTGGAGAGTTGAGGTAGAAAAAGAGGGAGTGGTGGTGGATGGAGGAGTTTTGGAGAATGATGCTGCTCTGACTCTGACTCTGACTCGTGCTGCTTTCTCCATTGTGTTAACTTTAAGTCCATGGAGAGAGAAAGAGGTAAGTGCTGAGATTGGAAATGCAAATGCTTTTGGTTTGGTCGCCTATAAACATTGGATATGTGAAAACCAGGTTTCTAGGAAAAAATTATTAGGCACAGAACATTGTCCTTTATGCTGGTAAAAATGAGTATAATAAATAAATTAATTCTCCGATGAATTTAAAAAAAAGTAAGATAGTTAAGTGAATTTATTCTGGTAGAAAAAGTCGCAAGTCTCCTTTATTAATATTAGAGAGAATAATATTCTAGTAATTTGTGCGATTATTAGTTTAAATTAATATAGAAATAAAAAGAATAAATAAAATAAAATAATTATTCTATTAATATAATTACTCTTAATTAATTTTATTATAAATTTAAATTTTATATGAAAAAGTTCTCTATTTTAAATATTGTTATTTAATATTGGCTATAAATAAAAGTTATAAAAAAATTAATTTTAAATTTTAATAATTATTACTTATTACTAAAACTAAAGAATTTAATTTACTACTTATGATTAATATAATATATGAGAGTAAAAATATCATATAATTATTTCTTGGTTTGTACTGTGTAGACTTTTGCAGATGGCTCTGCCATTTACTTTCCTTCTAATATCTGCTGCAAAGTCTTTATGTAAAACTAAAACTACGGATCAAACTAAGAGTATTTATTTATTCATATCTCCTCTAAGATCTTGGCAAATAATTCTCCCACTTCATCTACATTTTAAGCAAATATTATTTCCCTGTTTTATTATTTACTTAATAATATAAACTCCCTTTGTTTTAATAAGTGACATGCTCAATTAGTTAATTATTACATGTATGAGTCACCGTATAATAAATGAATAAAATAAAAATAAGTGAGATGCGTGTGTGTAAAATATGATTTTAAGGGGTGAATGTTCTTGCAAATATGATTTTAATTTTTAATTAATTAATAATATAAAATATTTATATTAATAAAAAAAATATATTAAAAAAAATTAAAGTGTAGGTGTAAGAACAACATGGAAAGATAGTAAAAGATAAGAAACGTAGGGAGAGAGAAAGAGAGGTGTCTGACAGCATTGTCTGCAAAGTTTGTTTTGAAGGGAGAGTGGGGAAGGCTTACAGTTACAGCACTTGGGAAAAGGACACAACAGGGTGAGACAAGACAGATGAAAAGAAAAATCTCAAAAGTAACTAAATATTGGAGCAACTGGCCTAGATAAGGATAACCAGCCACAAGAAAGAACCTGCATTGTGTCTCTCTTTCTAGGGTGCTTTGGAAATGAAAATATTAAATATACACTTCATTTCAAGTGAACATGGATTAAAGTTACAAATTTTAGCTCATGGATTTAGACTTCTTTTGGTGAGAGAATATTTTGTTTTATTAGATATAGAATATGCTCTACACTTGTAATGAAAATAGAACCTGTGTATCAGAAATATATTTGATCAATGATCCTTTTGAACAGTCCTTATTATTATTAGCATTAGAATTAAAATTCTTATTATTAATATAGCTATGATTAAGAGAGTAACAGGACTTGAGAAAGTACGTTAAAGGTGTAGAAAAGCTCGGTCGTGAAATCTTAATTATAATTATATTCAATAATGATATATATATATATATATAACTAAAATTAAAAATAAGATAAAAATGAATTGTAGAAATTTAACTAAAATCATTTCAGTTTTAATTAAATATTAATTAATTGAGATAAAAATAAAAAAATTTAAAATAGTTTTTTAAGTTTTCAATTTTACCTAAAATAATTATATTTAAAAATTTATATGATATTTTCTAAATTTTAATTAAATTAATTTATCAATCAGTTTCTCAAATCATATGTTTATGTTTATATGCAATAATTATTGACTTTTTTTTATAATATATTATTTTTAATTTATATTTACATAAATGATCTATCTTTTACATTATTTACATAAATATATAAAAGTATTGTGCACAGTAAAAAATCATTTTTATATCAATCGATTTGTGAATATAAATTTTTTTTTCAATTTTATTAACCTCATGAGAAATCGGGTTTAGGGTTGGATTTTCTCAACGATTTCTCAACGAGGTTATTCTTTTTATAAAAAAAAAATCTGATTTTTTTATTTTTATTTTTTAGTTTTTTTAAAAACTATTTAAATTATAATTGGAATTTTAAATATAATTATTTTATTATTTTTAATTAACTTGAGTATTTATTTTTTCTAATAAAATATAAATATTTAATATTTTTTTATTATTTTAATAATTTCATTTTATTGCAACAAATGTACATATTTTAATATTTTTTGTGCAAATATTTTTAAAATTATTTTAGTTATAATTTAAAAAAATTAATTTTACAAATTAATATATTTTATAATTTAAATATTTCAATTTTATTTAATATATATTGATAATATAATATTTTGAAGTAATTTAATAATTTAATTTTTTTAATAAACAAAGATATTTTAATATTTTAAATAATGTATTTATTTATTTATTTTTGTAATAAATATAGATATCTTAATAATTTTTTAAAATCTATTGACTAAAAAAAGATAATATTTTTAAGGTATTTAAAATTTTATTTTCTATTAAAAAATATAGATAATTTGAAATTATTTGTTAAAATTATAAAAATATAGTTATTTTTTTTATTTGAAACATGTGGAAAAAAATAATATTTTCATTAAGATGAACAATTTTAAAATATTTATCCCAACACAATAGGAGATGAAATAAGTAAAAATGACAACAAAATCACAATGCACCAAATTACATAATAGGAACCTAGTTTAATGATGACTATGTCCACCAGTTCCACACCTTGGAGGTTGTCGGTTTCTTGTTGGGTTTCGACAACCAATGTGTGGTTGTTGTGGTTCAATTTGCTCCTCATGATCTTCTATATAAGCAGTACTCATAGGAGGATTCGATGAAGGACTTTCACCAACCTCAGATTGATTAGAAGAAAATGAGGGAAAATTCATGTTTTGCATGTAATTATATGCACTTTGTGGCGTGTGTATATTGACGCCAAAAAGATTGCTCATGAAGTCCTTTGTGGGAGTTGTTGTTATTGGTGGGGTGTTCATGAATTCTTCATGCTGCGTATGATATGGTGGATTCATTGAAAGAGGTTGGGGATATTGTTCCACACTATAAGGTGGTTGGTTATCTCCAACTATTGGGGTATGTGTTGGTGTGGAATAATATTGTTGAAATCCTGTTGTTGTTGGGTGTTGTGTACTAGAAGTGGATGCACTAGATGAAGAATATTGGCTATAAAGAAATATTTTTGAATTTTCACGTAACCATTGCAAATATTTAGGAGTGTGTTGGAGAGGCCCTTGAAGTGGTTGTCCAAAAATAACATGTTTGTGACTGTCTTTCCAAATGGAAATCTAGTCTGCATGTTGTTTAGTCCAATTGGTGTTACTGTGTCCTCTCATGTCAATTTCGTGCATTTTAGCAACATTATGCGCTTCATTGGGGATTGGTTGCCACAAGCCAAATTGCAATTAGACTCTATCACTTTGATGCCAGACTACAACTGCAAATGAAGTTAAAACAGTGCAAGAAGTCCATATTCTAGGATCCTTGTAAGCATGTGTTGGTAATAAGGACTCAAATCCCCTATATGGCATCCACAAAAACTAAAAAAAAGAAAAAGGTAAGGACTATAAATTAATTGTTTAATTAAAGATAGTATGTTTGAGACAAGTTGACATCGTATTACCTTATTATGATTCATATTATTAGATCTTAATCTGTAGCCAAGTAAATCTCCATGGGGCATCCCCGTAAATCTTAGCCTTTTCCTGTCCATCTAAAAAAATTATACATTGATTAAAATTTACAATTTATATAATTGTTTGATGTATTAAAGTTATATATAAGTTTATTCATACCTCAGTGCAAGCGGATATGTAATATCCTGTTCGACTTGTGGTTGGATGAAGGGAATGCGATACCAAGCCCAAGATTGCAAAAGCAAAAAACATCCACCCATTTTCTTAGACGATGGAAAATTCGTCCTACACATTTCTCTGTACAAATGTGCCAAACAAGCAGAAACCCAACTATATCGTCCAACACATTCTAAGTCTACCAAAAGTGGTAAATACATTAAGTGAAGCCTATTACCTGACTTGTCTGGCATTATTACACCACCAATCAACCTTAAGATATATGTCCTACAATGTTGGTGCAATTGTTGTTCAGTGGGTTCATTTGGTAGTGCAATTGTATGGTCTCTTAACCATTTTAATTTTATGGTTGAGTCAATTAGAGCTTCCCCTTTTGGAGGTACGAAGCCTAACAACTCATAACACAATTCATCCTAGTAAAAAAAAAGATGGCCCAGTCACAGGTTTGCCATAGATCCTCAAACCCAACTGAAGTGGTACATCTTCCAAAGTGACCGTGCACTCACCAATTGGGAGGTGAAATGTATGTGTCTCAAGTCTCCACCTCTTGATCAAAGATGTTATTAAACAATCATCAATTTTAAAATGTCTAATTTTGGCAACATCCCCAAAGCTAGCAATCTCCAACAAACGTTCAATTCTTGGGTTAGGTGGAGGCATGGAATGATAGTAAGATTGAATTACTTGACCACTTGTTGTCTGTGCATATGGTAGAATTGAGATGTTAGTAATGAACAATATTACTTGTAAAAATTATGAAATATATATTAACTTACCATAAGATGACTTTCATTAGATTTATGGAGGTGTTGTTTCCACAACATAGTTGAAGATGAAGAAGACATTCTTGAAGGGGAAGAACAAAAAAATTGATGAATGCAATAACAGAATAAAATTGTTGTGTTTAGAGTTTGATGGTATGTAGTGTATATATAGTGCAAAAAAGTGAGACAATTAATGCATGCACGTCAAGAATCAATTGCTTTATGTAGAGTGTCATTGATTAAAAGTTTTATTAATTAAAAGTGTCATTAATGCATGCGCATCAGGAATCCAATAACTTTATGCAGGGTGTCATTGATTTAAGGTGTCATTAATTCAGAGTGTCGTTAATGCATGTGCGTTAGGAATCTAATAACTTTATGCAGTGTGTAAT